CATTTTGAGGCCGATGTGGGCCCATCTTGGGGCTATGTTGGCCCATCTTGGAGCTATATTGGCCCAGCTTGGGGGCTATGTTGGCTCATCTCGGGGCTATGTTGGCCCATCTTGGGGCAACATGCAAGGGGCGGCGGCCCCTCTCTCCTACGGAGAGGAGAGAATCGCCTACGGCAATGCCACGGCCAGGGGGCCCCTGGCCGGACTACTGGGTCAGAGGCAGTTGCGACTGCAGTGAAGCTGGAGGTGAAAACAGAGCCTCACCCATGTGCGCTGTTGGGAGCCTTGATGTCCAGCGAGTCAAGGGTAATGGACAAAAAGGACAAAAGTGTGGTAACCTCAGGGTTGAAGATCATGCAGCATGAGGATGAAGTCATGAAAGCTATGGTGGGGATATCTCACTTGTCAGAATCGGTTCACATGTTGGTCTTGAAAGATCCCAGGATCAATATGTCCAGTTGGAACGATGTGCATGCCACGACAGTTGACCCCAGCTGGGAAGACACATGCAAGAAGCTTGCAGCCAGGGTCTCATCCCAGAGCCCTGGACTGATTGCAGTGTACATGGAAAATCCCACTTGGAAACAGATCCAAGATGTCCATTGTGAAGCTGACATGAACCAATGCACGGTTGTGGTTTTCACCCCATACCTCGAGAGCCTGGTTGACAAGGGTTATTGCTTTGGGGGTGATCTGTGCCTGTCTGTTGCAGGAGACCGCAACGAGACACTGTTCAGGCTGGCAGTGGACTGGAACGAGGGTCAAGAGAGCATGACACCAAGGACGTTCCAAGATGCATGTGGTATGGAGTTTCATGAGCTGTTGAAAGGTCTCTCAGAGAAGCTTTACCTAGATAGGTACGCACAGACATGTTTTGTTGGTGAAGCTATGGATGAGCTGTCTGGATCAGATGACCAGATGCTGGATGATCCCAACAAGCCTCTGACTCCAGCAGAGAATGAGCAACTCATGTTGGATCAAATTGCAATCCCTGGAGCCCCACTGGATGAGGTCCAGAGCACTGCCCACACGAACTAGGATCGCCATCCGACTCCTGCATAGGCAAGTTGGCCATCCAACACCTGCTACCTTGAAGAACATCCTGAAGGCAGGAAGGGCATCTCCTGAGCTGATTGAGGCAGCTCGATTGGTGAGGTGCCAGGCATGTGAGGACTCTGCAAAACCCCCAAGAGATCACCCAGTTGGAAGTCATTTCAATTTTGGGTTTAACTCTGTGTTGGGTTTTGACGTACCAGAAATGAGAGATCATTTGGGGAACAAGTACTCAGTGATGTCGATGGTTGACATGGCAACGGGTTTTCACATGTGTGAGGTCGTCAAGGAAGGTGGAGGACAGCCCACTTCAGAGGCACGTGCCAAAGCGTTGATGACCAAGTGGATTGCTTGGGCTGGCTGGCCAAAGGCATGCATCATGGATCGAGGCCTTCACAGCAGAGGCGCAGTGACCAAGATGCTGGCCAGTCATGGGTGCAATATTGAGTTTGCCCCTTTGGAAACCCCAGCAGCTATAGGAAAGGTAGAACGTCATGGGGGTATCCTAAATTAAAAGCAATGGTCAGAAAAGTGGTTGCTGATACCGGGACATCAGGACTTGCAGACTTTGAGATGTTGCTGCAAGAATGCACATCCACAAAGAACAGCATGCAGAGAACAAATGGTTACAGTGCAAGTCAATGGGTTTTGGGAAAACAACCACGCATGCCGGGCTCAGTCACAGACATGTCAGAGAGCGCTGACTTGGGTGTGATTGAAGCGAAAACAGATCCAACTGTGGCGTACCACAAGGTACACGCTGCAAGAATGAGTGCGCAGAGGGCTTTCGTCCATTTAGACACAAGCAACAGGGTTGCACGTGCGCTGACACGCAATGCAGCGCCCCAGCACAAGGAGTATGCAGTTGGTGATTTGGTTTGCTACAGGAGAGATGCACGACAAGGCGGCACAACATGGAGCACGGCATCCCGTGTGATTGGCCATGATCCCCGAAATGGGTTGTGGTTGTTACACGAGGGCGTACCAATCTTGTGCAGCACATCACGCGTGAGGTCTGCCAATGAGAGCGAGGCCCTGGCTTTCTCCATCTTGAATGGGGTCCTGTGTTGCCAGATGCCATTGTGTCAGGCCCTCAACAACAGAAGTACATCCATCTTGAAGCTGAACAACAAGGACCAAAGTTCCCAAACCCAGTTGGGATCTTTGATGATGATGAAGATGCCCCTGAGGGGAGCAGTGCGCCGTCAAGAGCTCCAGCAAAACCAGGGAGACGGTTGAAGGCCAAAGATAAGACGGGCCAATCTGAACGACCTGGCCCCTACACAAGAGCCGCTCCAATGACCCTAGGTGCACTACCTGGTGACACGATGATGGCTGAGTTGGTGGATGGAGACCACTGGCGCATTTCAAAGGATGTGGCAATCAGAGTCCATACAGAACCCAGGAAACGAGAGTATAACACGATGGTTGATGGTGAACTGCCAGAAGGGTTTCAGGACTCAGGGTTTGCAACAGTAAGAAAGATCTTCAGGAATGGGGATGTAAAAACAAACGAAACGGGTAAGGTAAGTAACGTAGAAGAAACGGACGCTTGGACCGGTTTCACCGTCTTTCGAAGGGCACAAGACCCATTCGAACGCGCGCGAGCTATGGATCTGGAACCTCTAAGGTCTTTCATTGCACAGCGCATTGTGGAGGCCGAGGAGACGGTTCAGTCTGGGAAGGTGGCCAAGACAGTGGACATCAGAAAGGTCTCACCAGAGATTAGAGCCTTGATGATGGAAGCTCGAACTGCAGAGTGGGAGAAGTACAAGAGCTTCAACGCTGCAATTCCCATTTGGGGAAAGGAGCTTCAGAATCTGCTGGATGAGGGTCACAAGGTAATCCCATCTAAATGGGTTGAGACAGACAAACATGAACACCTGAAGGGAACCCCAGAATATAGTCCCAAGATGAAAGCTCGGTTGGTGATATGCGGTAACTTCGAAGATGTCAGTCGCGAAGATGTGAGGTGCGATGCTCCGACAGCAGATGCAGAGTCCCATTGCCTCCTGGCGAGTTGGGCAGCTTCGGAGAGTTTACGTCTGAAAGGAAGTGACGTGACCAATGCGTATTTTCAAGCAAAGCCACTGACGAGATTGCTACTGATGCGGCAGCCGACAGGTGGACTTGGAGATCCAGATGTGCCTGCAGAAGCGTGCTTGCTCTGTAGGGTGCCCATCTACGTGCCCATCTACGGTTCAATCGATGCAGGTAGAGGTTTCTACTTGCGCATGGATTCAAAAATAAAGACAGCAGGTATGAAGGCGTCAAAGGTGATGCCTGCCCTGTACTACCATCAGGACGAAAACGGTGAACTGGATGCCATGCTATGCACCCACGTGGATGACCTACTGAAGGTAATCCAGGAGATCCTTGGAAAGTTCTCGGTCGGAAAGACTGAAGAAGGGAGCTTCAGGTACTGTGGACGTCAGTTTACCCAGCATGATGATTTCACAGTTGAAATCGATGCTGAGGAGAACACCAGAGGAATCAAGCCAATTTCGATTGACAAGTCCCGTAAGGGAACTGACGTTGTCACGGAAAAGGAGCTGACAAGTCTCCGATCGGTGACGGGATCACTGGCGTGGGTAGCACGGTACTGTCGTGCAGACTTAGCGGCTTAGCGTACAAGGTGAATGAACTCCAGAGACTTTGCAAACCAAAGGCCACGGTGTCAGACTTGAGGCTGGCAAACAGGGTTGTTGAACTGTCACACCAGAATCAAAACATGAAGCTGGTGTACAAGGCCAATTGGATTGACTGGAAGGATCTTGCAGTGGTGACGTACAGCGATGCGTCTTTTGCAAATGAGCCTGGATTCAAATCCCAGCAAGGCAGAATTCACTATCTGTCTACGGCTTCGCATTTGACTGAGAAAGATCACAATATACATGTGATCGGCTTCGCTTCGTCAACCGTCAACCTTGAAGCGTGTGTGCAGAGCCACATTGCAAGCTGAGTCGTACGCACTTCAGAGTGCAGTGGAACACGGTGACCGCTTGAGGTGTGTCCTGTGTGAGATGACAGGCAAGCTGGTGTCAATGACTGACTGGCACGAGCAATGCCAGATGAGGATGAAACACGTTTGGGTGTCTGGCTGCATGAGCTTGTTCGAACACCTGAATGCAGAAGTGCCCAAGAAGGTCCAGGATAAACGACTGGGCATAGAGCTTGCGGCATTGAGACAGTCCTTGTGGACAGGGAATGGCCAGAAGAGCAGTCTTGAGTACTCGCCCTATGGGGACGAGCTATATTGGATTGAGACTGCCCGGATGCTCGCAGATGCATTGACGAAGTCAATGAAACCCTGGCTTTTACGAGGACCTTGACATCTGGCCTGAATTCGCTCAGACTTGCATGATTGATGTGTGGCAGATGCCGTCAGCAGGCTGCTGTGAAGTGTATAGACAGTTTGAAAGCCACGCAAGGACATGTAGATAAGACGGGTGTGAGTTTGAGATCAATCAGATCCTTACACCATGTTCCTTGGCGTGTGACTTTGGTTCAAACTACCCTAACTTAGGGCCCTTGAGCTGTTGGTTGCAAAAACGGTCCCTAGCGCAATTCAAACTTGTTATGTCCGATAGAGCGGCTGTGGGATCTTGAAGGCTGGCATGCCGTTGACTTTCTATTTTGATTCGAGGTGTGTTGGAACATGAACTGTAACATGGAAAGGCAACTTTGGGTTATCTACAGGTCAAGTGACGCCGAGTGTCATTAGACATGGCAGGTGACCAGAAGTCATGAAGAGCATGTTTGGCATCTATTGCGTTCTTCATTTCAACAAATATCAACACATCCTCCTCAAGAAACAATCTGCGTGGGCTAACTTTTTCTGAGCAGCATATTCATGGTTTATCCATCTTTTTCTTAATTTGGTGGGGAAACATGTGCTGCCAAACTTGGTGAAACATGGTGAGACTCTTGAGTCGCGAGTCGCTCAGGCTTTGGATGACCAGCCGGACTTATGGTTGCGCTCTGACTCGTGCAGCGCCTGCAGCGCCGGTCAGCTGTACCGCTGGCTTCAGATTTTGGAGAAACAATTGGAGCTTTCGCCCACTTTGGGTCGCTATGGGCCTTCAGGTGGAAATCTCAGAGTGCACCAGTGCACAGCCCAGACAGTACCAAGACAGCATTGATGTATTCAGCTGCACAGATCTGCACAGCACTCGAAGCCGCCATTCTCAGGTGACTCTTCACAGCTTCGCTCTCGGCATGTTGCCAGAATCCACGAAAGAATGAGAGATTTGATATGATCCGAATGATTTCGAATGAAAATTCCACGAATCCAAGTGCGATTCGATCTATTTAGCTTCGGTGAGAAAATCATGCTCATCCACCTCATCCCATGTGGAAGCTTTTCCAGTTAGGGAATTGTGTGTCCAGTTGTGTTGAGAAAAACAATGCAGCGTGGTCTTTTCCGTGACACCAGACTCATGCGCTTTCACTGCTTCCCATGCAACACCATGCAACGCCATGCAACGCCATGCAACGCCATGCAACACAATGTGCACACACACAAACACGTATATGATGTATACCAGTAGTACCGCACAAGGCGGTGGCGGAAGTTTCAAAAGTAGGAAACCTATAGGAGAGGTTGGTTTTTGTGAATCAGGGATGGCAGAGCGAAGCCACTGATGGACTGAAAGGTGCTTGCAACATCCTTCTCGATCAACCTCATCACTAATGAGGCAGGGTAAGCGATGGGCCGATGGGTGCTGGATTGCACAGGGTGTGAAGTCGCCCAGTAGTTTTCACATACATTTCACAGCTTGACTTTGCTGCCGACTTCGACCAGAGAACATGCACATCTACCTAACAATCTTCAGAGCTTGATTTAGAGTCAAGATTTTAAGCAGAGGTTGGAGCAAGTGAATTTGCGAAGAAGTCTTGAAAGCTCTTGATATTCATGTTTTTTGCTCAAGATGCTGGTGGTTGTGCCTCTCAGTTTCTTGCGCATCTTCTTCCCACCGTCCTACCATGACAGTGGCGGTCTTCTTCAAACATGGCGACACTATCATACCAGTTTCCCTCAATGCTGGTGATGTAGTGGATTTGAAGACCCTGCCTGTAAAGGCAATGGTTGCCTTTGACCCTTCCAAGTTCCGCGAGATGACAAGACTCCAGCTGAAAGAGATAATGGACAACTTGGGTGTCGGCACGACCAAATTTCATAACAAGGACAAGGCAATTGAAATCCTTCGTCAGAAATGGAATGATTTGAACAAGAAGGCATCCGAGAGTTCAACCGCTTCTTCCCCTCCTTCCATGGAAGACTTTCACTTCACTGCGTCTTGGCAGGACAGCGGAAACGACCTGATGGATTGTCACCTGTCAGGAATGATGTGTCTTTCAGACATCAAGTCCGCAGTTTGTGCTGAAGCCGGATTGGCAAAATCTACATTTATGACTTTCAGTTGCTCTGTTGAGAGAAAGGTGGAAGAGCTCAACTTTCAGTCATTTTTCTTCACAGACTTCACAGCTTTTCCTGGCACGGATTGCCGCCATGTTCAGAGTCTTGGTTGGAGGAGAGTTTCTGGTACCGCAGGGATCAACATGAAATGGAAGAAACTAGGTCATTGGCAAGGAGGCGGAAGCACTCACAGTACTGAGAAACTCTGAAGATCGGCAACACCAGATACACCAGTGAGAGCAAGTATGTGCTCAAATCTTCTCCGCCACATTTTTGTGTTTTGTGCTGATTTTCGTGGCGTACGTCGTTTCGGACTGCGCGGTGACATGCGAATGTGCTTTCAAAATACCATAGTAGCAGGTCCCAACTGCACAGGAGACAATGAGGAGCATAGCAGACATTACAACATTGTCCTGGCATCACCTTTCGGATGGAAAAAATGCAGATATGGGCATGGGTTTTCAACTAACTAGAGCCCAGAGATTCAGATTTCCCATCCAAACTTCACAGCTTCACTTTTGGCAGATATTTCAACATCTGGTTCAGAGCGCGCGCCTTCACAGCTTGACGTTTGGCATTTCAACCACTCCGTGCCCCTTGGGAGCACCCACCCAATCTTGTCCAGCGATGCTTATTCCGGCTCATGTCAGGCCTTGTTCAAGAACAACACAATCCAGCACAACAGCAACATGATGCTGGGTAAGCTTGATAACAGATGATGGCGACGACGGCCACAATGATGATGATGATGATGATGATGATGGGTGGGTTGTGGTGGTGGGTGATGATGATGATGATGATGATGGTGGTGGTGGTGTGGGTGATGATGATGATGATTGATGATGATGGTGGTGGTGGTGGTGGGGGGTGGAGTGTGGTGGTGGTGGTGGGTGGGGGGTGGGTGGGTGGGTGGGTGGTTGTGTTGGTTGGTGGTTGGTTGGTTGGTTTGGTTGTTGTTGTTGGTTCGTTGGTTCGTTGGTTAGTTGGTTCGTTGGTTAGTTGTGTGGGTGGGTGGGTTGTGGTTGGTTGGTGGGTGGTGGTGGGGGGTGGTGGGTGGTGGGTGGGGGTGGTGGGTGGTGGGTGGTGGGTGGTGGGTGGTGGTTGGTGGTTGGTGGTTGGTGGTTGTAGTGGTGGTGGTGGTGCAACAAATGCAGATACGCCATCGTGCCGTCTGAAAAGACAAACACGGTGGCGTGCAACAAATAAAGATGCTTATGCAACATCGGACCGTCAAAAAAGACGAACAACTTGGCCACTTGGCGTGCAACGAATTCCGGATGCTGATACGGCATCGTGCTGTCAGAAAAGACAAACACATTGGCGTGCAACCAATTACGGATGCTGATGCAACATCGGGCCGTCCCAACCCAGATCTTCCAAAAACCCTTAAATAAGAAAAAGCACCTTAAATAAAAAACCTGAACAAAAGACCTTAAATAAAGTCTGTTTTCTTATTTTAAGTGTTTTTTGAAAAAACACATTATTTAAAGACTTTTTCTCTTAAATTTAAGGTTTGTTTCCTTATTTAAGGTGTTTTTTCTTATTTAAATTGTTTTCATTTAACTTTACTTTTTTGGTATATCTATGTGTTCAAAAACCTCCTTTGTAGGCGATTGCTTCCTGAAAACTCGATCCTGCATAGGAGCAAGTACTCCTTCATAGGCAAAAAAAAAAGGTTTGCTGTTTGAAGCTGCAAAGACCATGGTATTGAATGGTGGTTGGGTTTGGGTGATGAATGGTGGTTGAATTTGGGTATGTAGACAGCACTCCTATGGAGGATGGCTGCCTCTAATGATAGAACAAAAAAACCAATGGTAAATAAATAAATTAGTATATATTATATATACATATATACCAATTACTAATGAATTCTATTGGGGGTCTAATCTTTAATGATGTTCCAATTTATTGGTTCATCTATGTCACCTCCTGTGTAGGAGGTGTTGTTCAATGAAGTCTCACCTCCTATGCAGGAGGCATTTCAGCTTGCAGTCTTCATGCCTAACTAGATTTGTTCATTGCATTGTCTGTTTGTTTTTGTGTGTTTTTGAACCTTTTTCTGCTGGTGACATATTCACAGGGCAATTGTTTGATAATGCTGTGCTCAAGTTTGTTTGGTTTTCGGTTTCTTCTCGACCTGCACTGTGCAAGCCATGGGTGGTGCTTCTTCGGGCAGGATGTCCCCAGCTGATTAGGCTATCAGGACTGTGTGATTTGTTTGCTTTGTCTCCTGCATGGGAGGCAAAGGCCATGAGTTGTTTGTATTCTAAAGTAGTCCTGTTCACTGTGCAAAAGTTTCATCTCCTATGAAGGAGGTGAATGTATGCATGCTACAATATCACCATGCCATCTCCTATGTAGGAGAGCTCAGAAAACTTCACTGGCAGGACTGCTTTGGATGTCATCCAGCAGCTGCAGGCTACTCAGCAGGTGACTATGCAGCAGCTCCAGGCGATGCAAGGTGCAATTCCTCCAGTACCTCCAGTACCTCCACCTCCACCACCTCCACCACCTCCAGCTCCAGCAGCAGAAGCTCCAGCTGAAGCTCCAGCAGCTGAAGGGACTGCTATGGTGGATGAGAATGCTTGGTGGTATCAAGGGCCAAGAACTTGTCGAAAGTGTGGACAAAAGGCATACCTCAGGCAAGGTGTTTGCTACAATATGGAATGTGTAACTTGCCTTATTAATTGGTCAGGTTTGTTCCTTGGGTTGCTAGGGGGTGATTCATTCATGATGTCATTTTGCTTTTTCAATGGACTAAGGCATTGATCTTCACCAACATGTCTGCTGCTGAGCTTGGCCAGAAGCTGCTGCAATGGGGCGCTGCTGAGTGGAACCAGGACCCAGTCACTGTCCAGCGAGTCCGGGAGAGCAAGAAGAACAAGGGCAGAAAGCGCGTCTTGTGGCAGAGAGGGGTCAAAGCCTATTGGGCTGGCAAGGGGTCTGGAAAGGGGAAGGAGGAGGACAAGGAGGCTGTGGCATACCCCGGTGCTCCTTGGAGGAAGTCTCCTGCAGAGGAGGCTAATGCCTATGCTGCTAAGTGGTGGCCTGGTTTTGGTGAGCCTGTGGATGAGAAAGAAAATGATGAAAAGGAGGAGGAAGAGGAAGAGGAGGATTGCAAAGTCATTGAGCCACTGGTGAAGCACCACAAAGGCCCTGAGCACGACCCTGAGGGTGGCTCTGGTGGAGGTTCCAGTTTGTTTGCTGTCTTTGGTCCTTAGATCGTAGCTGGGTAGCAGCAAGGACATCTATAGATTTCAGATGGATCAGAGCTTGTGCACAAAGCCAAGGAATCTGGGTCATCCATGCGCTTCATCAGAAAAAAAGTTGCTTTGCTGCTTGGGACTGGGGGATGGGAAGGTAGCAAGTGTCTCCTAAGAAGGAGACCCACTCCTATGTAGGAGTGCTGCAAAACAAATAAACCTCCTATGTAGGAGGTTTTGGTTGTGTGTCTGTACTCAGGATCAGGTCCAGCTCCTATCTAGGAGCTGGAGGGCTAATGGATGGTTTGAAGATTTTGTGGACATGGTTTTGATCTATGATTCATCAATGTTGATAGATGTTGGATACATTTGGAAAACCAGGTTTATAGTGCACATTGATACTTTGGCCAAATATTTTTGTGATTATATTAGTCCAAGAGTGGAAATTTAACTTCATTTAACTTCATTTAACTTTACCCTGTCTAAGTTAAGTTCTTTATTTTTTAGTATTGATTTGAAGTTAAATGAAGTTAAATGAAGTTAAATTTATATACTAGGTTTTGAATTCTGAGCTGATGATTTTTTTATCCAAATCTCACTAGTGTTTTTTTTATCAAATTCACATGATGCAGCTTTTCAACATATCAAGAGTTTGGTCATCATTAGCCAAATAGACAGCAGCCATTTTGATGGATTCCAGATTCCAATCCCATAACCCAAAGTATCCAAACTTTTACATACTTATAAGACTGAACCTCAAATGAATACAGCGAGATCAGGA